GGTGTGCTTCAGTGATTAGCCAGGCAGAGTCAGGGAAATGTGCCACGCCCACTACACAGACAGAGAAAAGTGCACAACACAAGAATGGGGAAAACACAGGGAAACACGGGAAACACAGGGAACGACAATCCCGACTGTCATCGTGACAGAAAAAGTTTAAGTAACTAAGCAAGTACACCAATCACTCTTGGACATCTATTATACACACACATGGTGATAACACAAGCACAGAGAGACAAACGCTCTCGAAGCTCTGATTGCTCCCTGATGGGTTGATTGGATGACTTTTACTGCTGAGAGCATCAGCTTTCTTTCCATGCGTCTAACTTTTGTCAGGAAGTGATCACTTGCGTGGCCTTAACTGATCCCACACGCAGCGTGTCTGTGTATATAACAACTCAAACATATCCTTGTTCTAATAATCATGTATACTCACAATCAAATCATATCATCAAGTAAAAAAAAAAGAAATCACTTTATAAAAATGTGTTGAATGCACACTTACTTGGCGAGCTTCTTGAATCCAATAGCTCTTTTCTTGGTGGGAGTCCCATTGACTCCCTTCCACACGTGGGTATGCCAAGGATCAGGCTTTACCACAACAGAAAAAAAGGAAATATAGGTCAGATATTTTTATACATTAAGATATGATGATGAAAATGGGAATTTTCCTGCATTTTTTTCTTCAGTACAGTGAAGCCCTCTATGTATGTAGATTCTACTTGCGTTCAACCCAACCTTTCTTCCTTGACTTTAGGCGATGAATTCTGACTAATTACATCTTTAATCAACTATGTTGGCCAACCAATTTGTAAACATGAGAGCGTGTCTTTAATGGGTGGTGATCTACTTTCCCAAAAACACCAATTAACTTCCTATGAATATCATTATCATCATTACTGTAACCAATTTCGGCAAAGACATTTAAATTTAAAATTTCAATTCATACTGAGAATAAAGAACCTCATACAGTAGGATGTGAGGTCATTGCATTGTGATACCAGTAGGTTTGGCATTTCTTTTCTTAATATGCTAAAGCATTGTTTCCCAAAGACTGGGTCACGACCCTCAGGTGGTTCGCAAGAGTTTTTTGGGGGGTCATCTCGCATCATGTTTCCCAGGAGTTTACGAATAATGTCTATTGACATGAGTCGCGAAGGTTTGTGACTTTTAAAATATGGTGTTTGGGAAACACTGCGCTAAAGAATCCTTCTTTTTTAAAAGCAAGAAAAGATAGAAAATCAGTAGCTCACATGTAGCTTATCATAGAGACAGAGAATATATAATATAATACAGGTGGAATTCATGATATATTTGCCTACCTGGTACTCAAAGGACGGTGTGAGGTGGTAGTTGAGCATTTCTTGGTGGAACACAGGCGTGATACTTCCTGACATGGAAGGAACAATCCACACCCAGTCTCCAGGACAGCCGCCTCGCACGCAGTACTCGTTCTCCATGTGCTTTATGAAAGACTCTGTGGCTGAGTGATGGTCGACTATGGTCACCTTGCAGGACTTAAAAAAAGAGGAAAACCAATCATAAAACTTCAATAATTATAGTCAATAACCATAAGCAACCACAAGCAACAGACTTGTTTTCGTGGTTTGTGGGAACTCCACACAGACATGTACCCATTTCCTCAACCCTAACTATCACACATGAACGCCTATTAAACCTAACCTAAAACTAAAACCTAAACTGCAAAAACCAAAACCCAAAAACCCAAAAACAGATGTTTATTCAGGAAGTACTGCTACACCATAAGAAAATAGTCCCTATTACTTATCTGATTTCAATGGCAGTGGAAACTAAACAGAACCTCTCCACCTGAGTTAACTCCATTTTGCGATTACAAATGTCTTGTGTCGCCCTCACCTGGAAACTGTGGAGAACAGCAATGTTTATCTCTACAAGCGCCTGGTCTTTCCAAAGGGAGGACGTCTTCCTTGTGTCCAAGTTCATTTTGGTAGCAACATCCTGTAAGCAATAGGCATTATTGGTAGGTATATAGGTATTATTATTATTATTATTATTATTATTATTATTATTATTATTATTATCCCCTCCTTCAACCGCAACCTTAACGTGGTGGAGGGATTCGAGTATCCAAATGAACCTAGGAGCAATGTTGTTGTTGAGAAAAGTCAAGAGTGCAGCTACCAAGATGCCACTTGCCACCAGTTTTGCCATATTTCAGAGCTGCAACATCACTGGAGTGCCCAAAAGCACAAGGTGTGCAATACTCAGAGACACGGCCAAGGTAAGAAAGGCTGAAAAACGACCACCACTGAACAAGACACACAAGCTGAAACGTCAAGACTGGGCCAAGAAATATCTCAAGACTGATTTTTCTAAGGTTTTATGGACTGATGAAATGAGAGTGAGTCTTGAAGGGCCAGATGGATGGGCCCGTGGCTGGATCGGTAAAGGGCAGAGAGCTCCAGTCCGACTCAGATGCCAGCAAGGTGGGGTACTGGTATGGGCTGGTATCATCAAAGATGAGCTTGTGGGGCCTTTTCGGGTTGAGGATGGAGTCAAGCTCAACTCCCAGTCCTACTGCCAGTTTCTGGAAGACACCTTCTT